CATAAAAAGAATTCAAATAATATCTTTTAGTCCATTGTTCCATAATCATAACAAATTTCTCGTCAAATGAAAGTATTCACTTTTTTCGTTTAGTATAACTTAGAGCCATCGAAAAAAATCATACAAGTTAATATCCTCAATATCAAAAGTGTTTTTGTGTCTAGAATATATAATAATAATTGTATTTTTTAAGACAAATGGGCAGCAACTGTACTTTTTTTAACCACGATTATTAATTGGACTTATTGGTTGATATACTTTTCAAATTGAATACCCACAGAAATAAAACAAAACCTTTTGAAATAAAATATAGTCAAATTCACTTATTTAAAAAGCAATGGTTATATATAAAATGATGATCAAATAGTGAATTCCCATCCACAATTAAACCATGTTCGAGGTATGATGAAGAAAATTGTAAGATTTATTTTATGATCTTAAATTAGCAAATATAAACAATAAGATTGTATCCTAAAATGATGACTAATATTCTAATGAATAAAATATCATAAATTAATGATATTATTAATAATAAATATTATAAATTGCACTTCAAAGGACGTTGAACAATGTAGTTCTGAAGACATAACCTATAATGTACCATTGCACAGCAATGATATTAAATCTTATAAAAATGCTCTCCAAGAAATAAAACGATAAGAAATATTCACATTGAATCAAAATAATGAAAATAAACTTTTTGAATCAATTCTCAACTTGAAACATTTAGTAGAAAATAAAATGGCAAGTCACATAACACAACAAAAAACATTGGTTGATTTTTCAAATATATAGTTATATAGAATAAAAATTAGGTAAAATGCATTAATTAATATGTAAAATACTTGCAATAATGGTCTATCAGCATTTATTTATTTTTTTTTACAACTTGTATTAAATGAAAACCTGTCTAAAATGGAAAAAATATCCAGTCCCAACCATTTCGATATTACACAGGCTTAAATGTATTATTAATAATGAGGCTTTTGTTTCATTTTCTTTTATCAAAGTAACTCAGTAATCTCATACAAGTTAAAAATACACACTTATACTACTAAAATTAAGGCATACATTTTAGTCAAACTGAATTTAATGTGGTTTATAAGTTCTAATAGCACAATCAACTATTAACTTCTAACTTTAAAAATAAATACTAAATTTATAATTATGCAAAAGCAGACATCATTGTATGAAAATATAAATTAACTGTATTATTTGTATTGTACTAACCAAGCAAATTATATTGCTAGATCAAAATATTATAGAACTACAAAAAATATTACAATACGACTAGAATTTTTTTTAAATAAAGGTATACAATTATAAATTATGCAAATTACCTTGATAGTGAACCTTAATTAACTATAATATAAATGCAAAGCATATAGTTGGTATTGAAATGTTAACCATTAAAAGGTGCCAAATTTGTTGCTCTGGCTACAGATAAATATATCATACCTATAAAAGAAAAATAAAAGCTTGAGACATTGCAATGAAAAACACAAGTTGACAGTATATGACAACATATGCAATTTGCAATACCAATCTTGTCACAGACTACTGTTTGAGCAATTAAACAATCGAATATAGTGTTAAACTTACTAGGCGTTCCAAAATAATAAATGGGTTTCACGTGCTTGCAGCCAAAATAAAAATATGCAGCAACCAGTAGGAAAGTAACAGATCCTGATACTCTGCACGATGAACAACTATCATCTTTGCTCTGGATGTGATCAGTGTTCTTCGAAACGGCTTTCATGACGAGACTGTGCTAAAACAACCAGTATCGAATCAACAAGTTCTCACCTTCGAGACGAAAATCTGTAGGAACCGAAATTGTGACCGACACCTTGCCAACCTAATACAAATAACAGATAAAATAAAAAAACGCATGCAAACACGTATTTCTTAAGACGCAAAATCGGCATACACGTCGATGGACGTTGTAAACAGTAAAATTATATTAAAACACGTTATACCTACTGGTAATTAATTATTAACGTTATGACGACCGAGACGATGAATCGAACGGAAAACGATTGTTCTCGACTCGAAGACAATGAGAAAAAACGTTCTAATGCATGCTGAAATGGAGAAGTCGATAGGAGAACAGAACCGGCGAAGAAGAAATTAAGTTTAGAAATAAATGGCGAACCGGCCAACAGTGTCTTTTAACGGTACGCGATACACACAATAAGTCAACAAAGTAACAAAGCAACGGTAGCTGCAGTAGAGTAAGGACAATAGTCGGCGTTCCAAGCCATCTGTAACATTGTGCCAGTCGTCGGCGGCGGCACGACGCCAGTACGCACGAATATCATTGGACGCACGAGACGTGTTCAATTTTCAGTGACTCTCATTTTATTCATCCCTGACGAAACAATCATACCGCGTTTGCTTATCCGTTACAACACAACCATGGATCATAAAAAAATTTACAGGAGAACGTATTTCTTTATTATCAGCACATGCCATGGACACAACACTATGATACTGTGATAATATTGAGACGATGATAAACGGTTCAAAACAAACTGTTATCACGGTTCATTCCATAAGAAATACACGGGTCGAAAAAAAATGTTTGAAAAAAATTGAATATAAGTGTATTTGTATTTTTTTCTTAAAGTGCCAACTGTTAAAAACATGTTCTTTACAAGTTTATACATATTTACCGACCAAAAGTATGAAGCCAAACGCTTTTTTTTTTTGTCGTAAATACAAACAAATTATAATATAGTATTTTGTATTTCAATTTCACACACATTTTATACAAATCAGTTAAGTGTTATTAATATTTTTTACTATTGCAATTTTTACATAGATGTATGCACTATTTTCCCTATATTTTATCCCATTTTACACAATAAATACGTTTTATTACTATACTAATATATATCTGTTGTGTTTTTCTTTTTGAGCCATTTTCTTGCACATTATTTTGCTTTGGTGATCATCTGTGTGTCATTGCAATGTCACTGATTTTCTTTTTGAAGAGTATTTTCAAGGTGAGTTAGTAATTAAACATGTTTTACATAATATTAATATGTTAAATAATTGTTGTCTTAGTGTTTAAAATGGTTCATTTTTGGGTTCCATCGTGTTTTCATATTTCCAATAGAGAAACCTGCATGTTTTTTTTATATTTCCGCCAAATGATGTTGAATGTAAAGTCTGAGTTAAATCAGTGAGGTAAATTACATTTTAAATAGTTATATTGTGTTAAATATTCACATACATAATTAATTAATATAAGTTAAATCTTATTTTTAATTATACAACTTTTTACGTGACAGAAGAGCAGATGCATCAGATAGCCCACTAAAAATAATAAAATATGTAGCTGTCATTTCAAAAATGGCTTAAGAGAAAATGGACCTACTGTATTTGGATGAAATAAAAACTAATTTGTTTCATATACATCTCCTAAAAAACAAACAGAGTATGTAAAAGAAAATAATTACCTTTTAGATTCAATTCAATATTAACTAAGTTTATTACTACTTTTTTTTTTAAGTAATTTATTTGTATCATTATTTTGTTTTATTTATTGTTAGTTTTCTTTTTTTTTTTTTTTGCAATACTCTCCCAATAATACTTGTTGGATTAACCTTGTTAGTGACACAAGTCCTTTAATTAAATACATCCTGTCTACTAGTCATACTAGCTAACTTCATATCTCTGTACTCTATTTAACTATCACTTGTTTTATATTCCCATCACTTTCCTTCTTTCTACATTCATCTTCATAAAAACCCTCACCTATTTATTTTATTTTTGTTTTAATTATTGTATTTGTTCTGTAATAAATAGTTGTAGATATTAATATAATATATGTGTAAATAGTTCAAAATAAATGTAATACGATGTATAAAAAATAAATATCTGTTTATTTATATTTTATACAACCCCTTGTTTATCTCAAACTAATAATTAACTACTTATAACTTATAAATATTGTTGTATCACTAATAAATGTGTTAGAGTAGAATGGAGTTAGAATAAAGTTGAATAATCTCAATGTAAATGAATTAATAAGTACAGTAGACGCCGCTTATAAGACTCACTTTGGGATCAACACAAAGTGAGTCTTATAACCGAATGAATCTTATAGGCGAAGTGGAAAAAAAAATTAATTACGTATTTATAAATTTTATTTTACTACATATTTTACTTTGATTTTAATACATTAACACATATTACATACGTTATTATTGAATAAATTTAATAATCCTGATAAAAAAAACTAAAATTATAATCATTACAATCATTGTTGCGATAAATGTGAACTTTTATCTGCGATAAAAATTATTATACGTTATAAGTTACCAACAGAAACTAGAAATAATCAACAGGAATATTATTTCATTTTTCAAAACCAATTTATTTCTAAATTATAACCAAAAAAGTTTATTTTCTACTATTTATTTTACAAAATTTGAGTCTTATAACCGAAGTGTTGAGTCTTAAAACCAATTTTTTTTTAATGTATTTGGATACGTCTGGACCATTCCAGACGATTTTGAGTCTAATAAGCGACTGAACCTTATATCCGTGAGTCTTATAAGCGGCGTTTACTGTATTATTAAATTATTTTTAGTAACATATTAGATAATGAATAATAAAAATTAGATAATGTATATTTGTATTTGTATTATCAGCATAACAAAATATTATTGGTATTAAAAATTGAAATTTTAAAATCAAGAATTTATTTTTTTATTATTATATTAAAGGTGTAAGAAAGTAGACAGTGCATTATTTTCACAAGAAAACAGAAGTTCAATTATTATTGAAAATACTGCAACAACTGAAACTAAAGTTTTAACATCCAAAATTAATACTAGTAATGAAATGAAAATGTATTTTCTTTATACAGAAATTGAAGATTTAAAAAAAGAAAATTTGTTTCTTAAAAATAATCCTTTTGGTTACCACTCTCTTGAATATGATAACAAATTATTTGAGTTCTACTGTGGTATCAGTAAATATATGTTTGAAATAATTGTCGATTTATGTTCTAAAGTTTCTTTTAATTATTATTATGATTGGAATATTGAAAGATTCTGTTTAAAAGACCAAATCCTTATGACTATTATAAAACTAAGATTGAATTTAGCTTACCCAGACTTGGCATTTAGATTTAAAACTAGTGAATCTATAGTTGGTAATATAATCTTAACATTAATTAGTGTTCTTCATAAAATTTTATATATTAACTTAATGAATACAGTACCTACACAAAATAAGAACCAAAATTGCTTGCCAGTATGTTTGAATAATTTTCAAAATTGTAGGATAACATTAGATTGTACTGAAATTTTATGTGATATTCCCAAATCCCTTTTAGACCAAAAGCTTACATATAGTTCTTATAAAAATAAAAATACATTAAAAAGATTTATTGGAGTGGCTCCTAATGGCGTTATTATTTATGCTAGTAAATTGTATCCTGGGTCCACTTCTGATAAAAAAAATTGTAGGCCACTGTAGAGTATTAAATATATTACAACCAGGTGATTTAGTTTTAGCTGATAAAGGCTTCTTAATTTCAGACTGAATGCCTCCAGAAACTTCCATAAACATTCTCCCTTTTCTTATGTTTTCGAAATTCACTCTAAGCAAAGTTCTAAAAACAAAAAGCATAGCTAAAGCCGGAATTCATGTTAAACGAGTGATTGTTAGGTTGAAGAAGTTCAAAATTTTAACACATATACCTAAAGTGCTTTATACAAAGTCATCATTAGTATTTCAATTATGTGCTGCATTAGTAAATTTCCAAAATCCAATAATAAAAGAAGTTGAGCATCTATTTATAAACAATGACAGTAAATAAAATATAAATTCCAATATTCAGTTTTTATTATTAAAAAAAAATTTTATAATAATTATTATTTATTATGTATATAAATTAATACAAATTTTTAAAACTATATTATTTAAAATTATTTAATTACTTATTATATATATAAAAGATATAAATGTTATAATGAAAATGTAATTATTATTAATTAATTTGTTATAATTATATTATGAAATTAATCCAAGTATAAATAATACACATAAGTGTATAAAATGTGATAAAAGGATATTCATTTTTTTATGTATATAAATTGTCTGTTAAAAAATAAGGTATGAATTTATGATGATAAAAATTTAATAAAATATCAATATTTAATGACCAATTTGGATCTTTATTAATTTTGAAAGCAACTAAAGATTTAGTGCCTTAGTGGTCCATATAATGAGAATTTCAGATGACATTTTTTGTCATTTACTTTTGACCTTGAATTTGATCATAATATTCATAATTGGAATTTAAAACAAAATCACTTTTATTTATATCAAAGTTAATAATGTAATCATTTGAATTAAAAAGTGAAATTTTCAAGTCTTCATTCCAGAATTTATATGGACACCTAACTTCAATGCAATAAGAAGAGTTTTCATCGAAAAACAAACCATCTGTACTGGCTCCTAAAAACCCAGATTCATGTAACCAAATACTAATTTTTGCCACAATAGAATTTATAGCCTTCTCAAGCTCTTCAATTACAATATGTTCATGTATTTTCCCCCATTAAATAGATTAACTCCCTCCACAAAATATTTACCTAAGAGACCTTTAAAAAATGAATTAGGGTATCGATTATTTTTTACTGATTTTAATATTTTTTGAAAATTGCTTGAAGTTAAACGAAATTTCCTACAAAGATACCATTTTACATTGACAAATTGCCCTATGGTCTTGAAAGCTATATCTTTAATCTGTTCAAAAGATAATTTATAAATTTCGGACAAAATTTCAACACAATTTCTTGAAATCCTAAATTCTGAAGAATTAATTACATTTTCTAATAATATAATTTCACTTAAATCCTCAACAGGAGATTCTGGACTTAACAACCATGAAAATCTGACTGTTTAATTAGTTGTTGTTAATTTATCAAAGCACAAAGCATTGAAATCAATATTATGTGTATTGTTGCGTCCCTTATGTCAACATCGATTCATATATCAACGTAGAAAACGAAATACTAGTGTTTTTAAGTTAAATGATTAACGTCTTTATTCTAATACAATTAACTCGTACAAAAATACAATTTTATAAGCATAAGATGGATGAGCGGTGTTACTACCAAACTCTAAAATACTGATAGACGAGACTGTGAGTGGTGTTACGACCTGCCTCTGAGCGTCTCGAATATCCCTAACCGTCTGCTCAGCTCTTGTCGTGGTCTCCCTTATAAATGGTTAACTGGGGAGGTGGCGACTTCCGATGACCTAAAGGAGCTCTCTAAATTATACTTATTATTCAGTTCGACTCCTTTCCTGTGATTTCATCTATTCCGAGAAGTCCAGGACGTGTGATCAAGTCTTAATTGTTTTATTAAATAACATGATGTTCAGGTGTTCACCCTAACCGTCCGGTACTACATTGTTTGAATACATTAATTTAATTGGTAAACGCGTCACCTCTCCGTATAATATGCGTTGAAATAATATAATATAACATGGTACGTAACAGTATCAGTGACAGCCTTAAAATTATTTGGATACATATCATCAACTGTCAATACTTCTTCATTTTCTTTTACAGATTTTTTTGACCAGCTGCATGATACATCAGTTACAGATATATTATTATACCCATGTAAAAGAAGTGAAACCATATAGCATTTTGTCAAACCTGTCAGACATGTACAGCTGGCATGATCAATATTTTTATCTTTGAAAAATATCTATAAAGTTTAAATATAACAATTATTTTAGAAATCATATTATAAATGATACAATTAAGATTATAAAGTTATTTACCTTAACATCATATAATTTGTTTTTCATACTTGCATGTACTTCACCACTAAATATAACCACATCGGGTAGGTTATGTATTTATAACTCTTAACATAACCACATTCAAAAAAATGTTCTCCTTTAAAACATATTTTTTTGTCATCAATAAAATTAATGATGCACGAAAGCTTAATGATGCTGTTTGACGTCATATTTTTTAATTAAAAAATAATCATATTCCAATATTAGCAAATTGCCTAATAAAGGATTATTTAAGCTTACCTTGAAAATACTCTTCAAAAAGAAAATCAGTGACATTTCAATGACACACAGATGATCACCGAAGCAAAACAATGTGCAAGAAAAACACAACAAATAGATATATTAGTACAGTAATAAAACATATTTATTGTGTAAAATGGAATAAAATAGAGGGAAAATAGTGCATACTTCTATGTAAAAATTGCAATAGTAAAAAATATTAATAATACCTAACTGATTTGTGTAAAATGTGACGTCACTACTACTTGTGCCTATTGTTTACGTTCAACTGTAATCTAAAATTCTAAAACATGATAACGAATATTATTGAAACAAGTCGCGAGTACAACAGACGTGCAAAAAGCGATGACTGATGAAGTGATAAGAAAGTGTGCATCCCTAAACATTTTTTTATGGATGGGAGACAAAATTAATATAAAAACTAAATGAAGAATTTTTATACATTTTATTTATGGAACATTATATTTTTTTTTTTTGTCATTATTATATTAAATTATTACAATTAGGTAACAAATTTAAAATTTTTAGAGGGGGGAAGTGCCTCGTTATGCCCCCCTTGAGGACGCCTATGTAAGTGTATTGAGTTGACCACCTGCACGTCAACACATTAATATAATTTATAATAACAAATAATTGTGTGCTACACTTTACACATTACACGGTATGACTGCAGTGACCAGTGGTGTATATTTGTAAATAAATGTATGGGTTATTGGTGTATGCACAAGACTATACTAAG